CATGCATGCAGGGAAAGCGCACATGTTAAAATACTTCTCTTTGTGAAAAGAGTACAAAAATGCATTACATCAGGGAGAAACTTGCAGAAATATGTATATTAGGTGAAATGCACACAAAACTGCTTTCACATTTTCATGCACTTTTTAGAAATAAATCAAAAACTGATGTGGAGCTGACTTTAAGACTGGAATAATAATTTCCGTGTTGGATTGCTGAAATGCTCTCTGTGTGGGGATGCCTCTGAAAATCGTTTGGAAGCTTGAGTTGGGCCAGAGTGTGACTGACAGAATGCTAACTCAGTCTGGCAGGTTGAAATGTATAATTGCAGTATTATACCATCTGCGATGTTTGTTAGTTCATTTCCAGGCTTAACTGAAAGTGTTAGAACCCTAGATGGCCTGGATCAGAGTATCTCAACAATCATCTGTACCCATATGAATTTGATTGACTGATATCATTTCTGAAAGCCATGGTCTTTGTCATTCACATAAGGGACAATATTTTATTTTTCTGTGGTGGCACTAGGACAGTTGAATGCCCTACTCATCCCTACTACTGCTCACCTTTTGGTGAGCAGGTGAGTGCCTTCTTTTCCAGCAGGTTTTTCTGAAAATATGCTTTTTGTCTGCTTTGCTCTTTGAATTGTTTCGTGATGTTATCATGTTTCATTTATTATTCATGTTTTAATAACTTGTTTTAGATATTTTTATTTGTCAGTGTTTATAATTTTAAATTTCTATTCCTTTCTTTAAAAAAAATTCTAAAGGATTTATTTAAAAACCAGAAGGGTAAAAAAATCGAACCATTCCATCACCACCCAAAAAATCCACAAAACCCGGGCACATGAACTAGGATCTCTTCATGCAAGTTCTCTAAATGTCATAAAGCTGGATTTATACGAAGAACAGAATTTTATGCTGTTTCTTTCATGCTCTGTGTGGCATAGATTTCTTCCCTTGAGTCTCCAAGAACAGATCAGTAACCTGTGTCTGATTTCTTCCTTGGCTATTTGCTGGTAGAACCCAATGTCAAATGCTTCAGTTATCCTAGATAAATCTCTGATCTGTACAGGGCTCTACCTGGTCAGATGATGCCCCCAAGGCAAGAGGATCCCCAGTCCTTCCCCTCTTCCTCCTAGCTAAGGTACTGCGGATGTGAGTCTTAAGTGTTGCTAGCTTGCTGATCCTGCTTGCTGCAGCCCTGGCTTTGAATGCAGTCAGATGAAATCGAGGAAATGGAGACCTTCCCTGTGGTTCTCTCTGTGAGTAGCTTGATTCCATTTTCTGTGTGTTTGTATAACTATATAGAGATAACATTCTTGTTGCAATAATCTACCAAATATGCAGTTTTAATTCCTTCCAGGCTGTTATAGTGTGGAGAGGCATGGCTCCATTTGCAATGCAGTGCATTCTGATGATTATTTTAAAAGATGCATAGTTTTTGTTTTGTTGCATGCACAGACCAATGTGCTGAACTGCATAAAGAGGATGGATGGGGTAGAGACACAAAGGATATGCTGCAGAGCCGTGGGTTCCTGACAGCTCAGGAGATAAGGAAAGGAAAAGCATAATTAGATAGCTGGATGCTTTCCATGGTTCACGTCTGCAGGGAATACATCTTAATCCTTTTGTGTGCAAATGTGTGCTTGCATCACACGGGGTGGACAGGCATGTATTTGTTTCATTCAGGGTGCATCAAAGTTCACTCTGCTCTGAGGGATCCTACCCAGTTGGCTTATATTTTCTCATGAGGACCTTGATATTCTCCACATCACATATATGTCTGGCTTGTTACACTGTGAAGTGCTTGGTTTGGTGCTGAAATCTTGTTATTTTGCTGCTGGCTTTATTTGTGAAATTCCTTCTTAACAACAACAACAAATAGGCAGTCATCTAAATTTTACTCAGAGGAGACCCAGTGAAATTATTTACCATGACTAATACCACCCAATAATAATGCATTCCCTGTTCACACAAACTGCACTTGCTTTGCTGCTTCAGGATGTTTGGGCTCCTTCCCGAGCTGGTATTGCAGCAGAAGGCTGGGAAGGGGCATGAAGTGCTTAGTTTACCTCCTCAAGAGATGCCACCTTCCAATGAAGTTTCAAACCAAAACCTCCCCAGTCTGTTGGAGTTCAGATGGGACAAATAGAGTGCCTGGTATAGGAGACTTCTGCAGTTCATATATGAATACTATTATTTCCTAATTATGTTTTATTAACTTTCCTTTAAGATTAAACTGGCTGTGAAACACATTATATGCTCCTCAACATATTCCTCACAGCACTGCATTTTGTTTTGTTTTGTTTTTTGCTTGTGCAGCTGTCAAACCCTTCTAACAAGGGCTAGGAAATTAGAAAGGCTGGCTCACTTATTATTTATTTAATTATTTATTAAATTTATGTACCACCCTTCGTCTAAGGATCATAATTCGAGGTTTGATGGCAGATCGAGTCCTCGTAGGAATGGTCTGGCATTGAGTTGTTGCTCTCACTTGCCACTGTCAGCGGCACTTCTGGCTGTTTCAGCCTTAGATCCAAGTGTGTAGTAAGGATTTGCTTGGGTTTAGATGCTGGCAAACCACATAATTACTCTAAACTCCCTTTGTAGAAGACACCGCTCCTACCTGCTGAGCAAGCAAGAGTTGCTTAGCTAGCACACATGGTTCCCCAAATGCAAGGGGAGGATGAGACATGCTTTGGCAGTGGATTGAGCGCTGTGTATACCCATTTATTTTCTTGGGATGCTTAGTGGGGAGGGTTGAAAGATGCTCAGGAGCCTTCTCCCTCCCACTTACCTGTGTAGGGTGACTCATCTGTGCAACCCCATTTGCAGGAGTGAAGCTTAAGTTCCTCCTGTGTCTTGGGACTCTGCAGACAGGTACACTGCTTCAGTACACAGATGTTATCCATCTTCCTTTTCATCCTTGGCTGTTGGTGGAAAGTACAAATTGCTGAGTGACCTTTCACCAAGGTTTGCTATCACCAAGTTGCCGATGTAGCCTATGGTGAGATTCATGATCCTTCCCCAATGGAAGCTTTCCTTCCAGGACAAATAGACTGGGGTCACAGTAAGGGGCATAGGTTTAAAACCTTACTCCTTTGCCTGCCAAGGTCTCAATCCAGCTCAGTCTCTCCCCACAATTCCTTTAGTTTGGCCCTCTACTTGCCTTTTCCCCCTACCTAATTATGATCGGTGTAGTACTCGTGCCATCATAAACCGATGCTAGGGTAATATTATCACCACCATGGTTTTGAGCTATGCCAGTGGATCAGATTTAGTTGCAATCCTATCTGGGCTGGCTGAAGACATTTTGCTAACTGAGAAGACAAGATGGTGCGCTCCCTCCCACCCATTTTATGAACAAAAGCCGATTGGACTGGCAGTTGAATCTGGGTAACCAGACACCCATCTTCCACTGCATCTGAGGACAGCAGGCTAGCTTAGATGAAATAGACCACAAAACACAGAGCTTTGCCCTCCAATCCCTTGCTATTGCTTTCTGCCTCCACAGCAATTGCTGCTTAAGGCAGGTGCTTCTTTCTGGCTAATGAATCCTAGCCTTATCCCTGAATCCTAGCCTTATCCAGCTGACATAAGCTGATGATAGGATTGCACTGTGAGCAGTGTGTCCCAAAATTTCCAAATAGCTGAAGAAATTTTATTTTCTTAAAATCTGAGCCACATTTTACTCTTACACCCAAACAGTTTTAGAGGTTAAAAGTATAAGCCTGACCTTCCTTGAGAATAGCTCACTTCCTGTCCCTGCAATTCACAGTTCTGGTTGTGCATTCCAACGGAAGCAGAAAATCCTAGAATACAGTGGTACCACAGGTTACATATGCTTCAGGCTACAGACGCTTCAGGTTACAGACTCCGCTAACCCAGAAATAGTCCCTCGGGTTAAGAACGTTGCTTCAGGATGAGAACAGAAATCGTGCTCTGGCGGCGCAGCGACAGCGGGAGGCCCCATTAGCTAAAGTGGTACCTCAGGTTACTTTCAGGTTAAGAACGAACCTCCAGAATGAATTAACCCGAAGTACCACTGTAGTCACTCTTCCAGAGAAACAACAAGCAGCCTCCTTTTAGAGCTAACAGTTCCTTGTTTCTCTTGTTGGAGAGTAGTCAAAGGATTCCATCACATCTCATACATAGATGCAACAAAATTATCTGTGCTCACAGAGTCCAGTTAGAAGGAAGGAATGCCAAAGCAGGGAATTGTGGTGGATGTAACAGCCACCCTCTGTTGATGGGTACTATGAGCTCATGGAAGCATTTACCGGTAATTGTTTCTTTCATTTAGTTTTCAATTTTTTGTTTTGCTTTTGCATTAAGGAAAGATGGTTGCACCAAGGTGGACGTGGGCTTGTGCAATACATATCAATGGGAGAGTCACAAGCTAACCCATGTCTTGTAGAGAGTCAGTTTTGCTGTCTCCACCCCCCCCACCTCATTGTTCTGTTTCAGAGGTTTATTTAGGCTTGCCATATTTCAAAAAGTAACATTCCTGACACCCCCAAAATTGTTGAACCTGAAATTTTTCAACTTCAACTTATTTTATTTATTTATTTATTTAATTTTAAAATTTTATTTCCATTCTTTCCCACCAGGGGGAAGGGGGTGGGACTAAGGAGGTAAGTTCCTTTGGACCTGCTCCTGAGCAAGTGGCCACAGGCTCTGCGTCCTGGAAAGGGGAGCTATTGTCCTTCTTTGAGAAGGTAACGCAGTGGCTCTCAAGGGGGGAGGACGGTGGGGGGAGGATAACCGAGTTGTCTTTATTTTCCTCTCCAGGTGGCTGGCAGGTGCGTGGGCCTGCTCTCACCCTCTTTCCACTGTCCTCCACGCTCCCCTCCTCCTCAGTTGGGGCTACAGCGCGGGGGGGGAGGGGGGGCGCTAGTGCACTTTGGGTCTCCCACGTAAGGAGGGTGGCATTCCTTTCACTGCTCAGCAGAAAATACATACAGGAAATTTCTTACATCTCTTAAAATTCAAATTTTCCCTCAAGGCGCCATTTTAGGAGTCCAGTTTCCTGGCATGTCCGGAAGTTTCTGGATGTATGGAAAGCCTAGTTTATTTTCTGATGTAGCTTTCTGCTTCTTTGATAAAGAGTGCCAAAGAGGTGCAAGAAGTGCTAACAGTTCAGTCAGTAACTTCCAGGTCTGGGCAGATGCATAGGGTGGGGCTGTTGACATGGCTTGTTGTGTGCAAGAAGCCAAAGACATCTGGATGCAGTTGTTGCTCTGTCTAAAGTATCTGAAGGAACGTCTATGGAAAAAGCACAGTGCAAAAACATATGCTGTTATAAATGAAATGAATGCAGATTTGCTTCTTAAAAAAAGAACAGAACGTAAATGCTTCGCTTGGGTTGTACAAGAGAAAGTCCCCGCCCCTTTTTTTCTTTTCTTTTTAAGAAGAGCCTAATTGCTGTATGTGAAATACTTTTAAAAAGACAGGCTCTGGATTTCTCATCAGCTATTAGGAATACCTTGTGATTCAGAAAGGCAATTTCAAAAGTAGCTTGGGATGCCTGCTGTATGTCTGTTGTCTGTCGCTGTTTGATCCTCAGCTAAGATTTTGACAGATGTTGCCACCATCTAACTGGCTCCTTTTATCTCTCATGTATATCTAAGCATAAGCGTGCATGCACAAACTTGGTAGCAGAGCTGGTAACAGTGTCTCCCTGTCTGTATTGCTGTGGAATGTGGCGGATGGAATATTCTCCTGCCTCTGGCTTCTCAAGTTGCAGGAGACCTTTTCACACATGACCTGTGTGTGGCAACAAGGACTGTAGGCCTTCACCTTTGGGCCCAGTCTTGAAAGTCTTATCGCTCCTCCCATTTGCCATGGCCTTGCCAGACTGCGTGTGCATGTGTGTTGGAGTTAGGATGGGACATGCAATGAATGAGGCTGCTGTGAAGGGAAAACTTAAATAAAAAGAGTAGTGACAGATGTAGAACTTGGAGTTTTGGACAGCTAAGAATGTCGTAAGCAAAATATGATTTATTTTATCCTTGTATGAACCCAATTATTATTAGCTATGCCAGATTTTCCCAGGACACATTTAGTAGTTGCTGGGTTATTTTATCTGTCAAGACTTAAAAGAAAGGGGGGCCACTAGGGGGTGCATTGGAAGATGGCCGACAATACCATCTCTCCGACCCACACGGGGTCATTAAGAGGCTGTTATGGGAGTAGGCAGCCTCCCTTGTTGCCCCAAGGAAATGGGGAACACTGCCCTTGCCTGCTGTGCCCATAAATCACCCCCTAATTCGAAAGAAGGGGGGGTGAGGGCCCTAGGCAGAATGCCCCGTGTGGACCTCGGCTCTCCTGGACGCTGTCTCTGATCGCGCACTAGCTGCAGCAATTTGGAATAATTAATTACAAAAGAAGCAAATGCACATATTTCAAGTGAAGAAGGGAGTGAAGTCTGCTAATTTAAGTGACCTCTGCGAACGAAGACGACGGGTTGGAGAAACAGGAATATTTTACGATGAAGATACACCAAAGGCTGTGTATGTTGACAACGGGACTGAATGGGGGAACCTTTTTACTTTCCTTCTATGTGATTTACAAGAACCCCTCCTCATTAGAACCGTCGGTTGAACTGACCCAAGCAGGATGATTAAGGTCTGTGTGGAGATAAACTTTAACCAAAAGTATGCTTTATGGAGATCGAGAAGCAATAAGAGCTTTTGGGAATGGCGCAGCAATTAATTCGGAGTCGCCATCTTGCCAAAGGATTTATAGCCGGGAGGAAAAACGGACTTGTTTTCAGACTGCATTCCTAGTGAATCTCCTCAGAGGTTTTTAGAAAGGAGGCAGATTGGTGAAGATTAATGACGCTAAGACTGTTTTGATGTATGGAAGTGATGTTATATGGAAAACGTCTGGATATGGCTACTGGATAAAAAATAATAATATCCACACAGGATCACAAACTGTTCTAACCAGCTTGCGGAGACTATCAGAGGTCACAAAGAGAAAGGAAAAATATATGAAAATAACAACAAGAGATGTGGAAAAATAATAAGAAAGGACTGGATAGTACTGTGAACATCATAAGGTTAGATTTGTGGACATTAAAACAGCAGTAAGAAGCAAGAAGTTGATTGGATCCCCTTCGGAACTTGAAATATGGGTATCCCCAACAAAAATTTAAAATTCGGCTGTGTAATTTGGAATTTATGTAATTTGGTTTGATTTGATGTGATTGGTCGGTTAATAAAAAATTATTCTTAAAAAAAAAAGACTTAAAAGAAAGGAGAAAGAAAAGTAGCACATTTTGATTTACATGGAAACAGTTGCTTGCTAGGACATAGATTATCATGTCCCATAATTACCACCACTGAAGAGCTTAGTTAATTGTCAGCTTTATTTGTGATGTTACTTTATAAGCCTATAAAATAAAGTTATAGGACTTCCGGTCGGCGCCAGCGCTTTATGGCGGTCCTCCCTTCGAGCTCCGGAGGAGGACTGCTCCGCGAGTTCGGGTCTGACCTGCTACGGCGAGCGGGGGACCCCTAAAATCACAGGCGCGGAAGCCTGTGAACAAGGAGACTCGGTGGGCACCTTTGCGCCCCCGGTACTGTGAAAGAGCCTTTTAAAGGCTACGGAGCGGCATCGGGGTGAGCGCGGTGCTGAGAGTCGCAACCCAGCCCGTGGAGTGAAGCCGCGTCGCCATGAGCGGAGAGCGCCGATTCCTTCCTGAACCAGAAATTCGACTCTAAAGCCCGTGAGTAAGACGGAGGGACTGAAAGGGACATTTAAATTTAAATCTTGAAATTTGGCTGAAAACGGGAAAGGCATAAATTAAGGAAGTCTGCCTCCCGATCTGCATGGCAAGTAAAGCAACGAAAGAGTAAAGCTGCATTTGAAAGAAAATTACCTTTAAGCTGTCAAACCTGACATTTGACTTAAACCTCCCCCCCAGTAAGCAGGAGAGGGGGGGAAGAAAATTGGACACTGTTAACCTGCTTGAAATTAAATGAGGAAAAAAAACATCTTCCATTGCCAAACCCCCAGGACGGACTGCCTGAGTAAGGCACCGGCAAAGTGAACTGTCAGTTTAGACTGGATACAAAGTTGGGGTCTTGTCTGAGACAAAGTTACGGGACTTTAATGGAATTACTTTGTTGAACTTGTGATTTACTGAAAAAAGTGCGACAGAAACTTTTACTGTGGACTCTTGGACTTTTTTTTGTTGATTGCTCTGTGCTTCCTTGTTTTTTCTCTTTCACTTGGATACAATTAAATGCTCCCTCTAGAGGGTATAAAGAGAAACTGTTACAGTGAAAAAGAAACAGTGGGATTTTCCACTTGCAAGTTTTTCCTGTGAGAACGACCTTGAGGATATGAGTGGCCCAGCAGAAGAGATAACAACTAGATCCAAAGCAAAACAGACACAAAAGAAAAGGGGCTCAATACCCGGCATACCACCAGCTGCACAGGAAAAAGTGGCAACAGCATCTATGGATTCAATGACACAGGCACTGCTCAAAATAAACCAATCTTTAGAAGCACTGACAAAGCTATCTACGGAAAATTCAAAAAATTGACAGAACTGACAGCAAGATTGGACTTGAATACTGCAAGTGTAACATCTAATACAGAATCTATTAATAAACTAATTCAAGAAAGTTCTGAAACACGAAAGATTGCTGAAAGTGCAAAAATACTGCGGAGGAGACAAGGCAGGAGCTTGTGCCGATTACAAAAAAAGTGAATGAACATGATGCAGCTCTATCTTTGTTGGAACTACAGAGAAAAGAGAGAAATTTGAAATTGAGATTGGTTCCCGAGAGTGAGGGAGACAGCCTTGTGGATTTTCTTACACAGAACTTTATGGAATTCTGGCAAGAGGAGCTGCAGGAAGAAGAACTTGAAATAACAACAGCTTTCCGGCTCGGCAGGAGGCAGGGTAAGAAGCCAAGGGATTGTTTGATCACATTGAGATCCAAAGGAGAAAGAGATAAGATATTGAATTTGCATTATCAAAAGGCATTGGAGATTGAAAATAGTCAAGTACAAATTTTTAAAGATATCCCTAAATATATTTTGGAGGTGAGAGCCTTCTATAAAGATTTGGTCTACCTGCTGAAGAAAAATATCATACCCTTCAGGTGGGAGTTTCCACAAGGATTGTCTTTTACTTTCAAAGGAAGGAAGGTTAAAATAAGAACAGTTCAAGATAAAGAACAGTTTCTGGAGAGATATCAGGAGGACTTGCAGAAAGGAACAGTAGAAACAACAATACAAGAAAAAGGAGTGACAGACATTGCAAACTTGTCATTTGGACTCATACCATCATCTGAAGAGGAACAAAAGCTAGGAGCAGTCGGAGGAACAGGTACTTAATAACAAAATGTCTCTGCAACTTCTTAGCTGGAACTGTAATGGTTTGAACCTTCCCGAAAAAGACGCCAAGTTTTTCATATTTTGAAAAGAGAACAATTAGATCTAATATGCCTACAAGAGACTCATGTGACCAGGACACATCGGAAATTATTGGTAAATAAGAGACTTGGACAAGAATTTATTTCATCAGATAAAGTTAAGAAAAGAGGCGTGGTGATCTATGCAAAAGAAAAATTGGCTCCAAAGATGATATTTAAAGATGAACAAGGAAGATACCTGGCAATTGAAATACAAGTTCAAGGAGAAAAATTTTGATAGTTGGAATCTATGCACCAAATGATGGGAAGGCGGAATTCTTTAAGAAGTTGCATGAGACTTTAATGGACTATTTAGACTACAGAATTATAATGATGGGAGACATGAATGGCGTAGTTTCCACAAATATGGACAAAGCACAGAGACAAGTAATTTCCAAGGAAGGGAGACTACCAAAGACTTTTTTGAAATGACTGAAACTATGGACTTGATTGACATTTGGAGAACAAGGAACCCTCTTGAGAGAGAGGGAACCTTTTTCTCTGAAGCAAAAATGACATGGACAAGAATTGACCAAATTTGGGTAACTAGCAGTATGGCGCCAAGGATTAAAAAGGTAGAAATCTGCTCAAAGACTTGCTCCGACCATAATGCTGTAAAGATGGAGATGAAACTTACAACAACTGGATCCTTCAGATGGAGAATGAATGACACCCTATTCAGAGATGAAGAGATTTATAAGAAGGCCCAAAAACAGTGAAAGATTATTTTGAGATAAATTTGAGAACAGAAGTGGAAAAAGAATAATTTGGGACGCAAGTAAGGCCGTGAT